AGGGGTCTACTGAATTCTTTAAAAAGAAATAGCATGAAAACAAAGTCTTATAAAAGCTTGTTTTATTTTTTGTTTGGTTATGGGTCAAGGAGCATATGAAAACCGCGAGAATGAAGATCCCAGGTTTTAAATATTTAATATTTCTATGAAATCGAGTTGTTAGTCTGAAGGATAAATTTCATTCTAGTGATTTTTCCTCAGCCTTTTTGATTATATTGGCAAGGTACTCAGTCTTTACCTAAACGGAAGCTTTGTCGAATATTGGCGAAGAGAAGAGCGGAAAGCAACAGAACATTTTTATTTAATGTTTAAATTAAAATTACGTACGCACGTCTCCTTTTCGATCGATGCTTTCTCTATCGAGTGGTTTTCCTACAACGCCGCAAAGCGGATGCAAGCGATCGACTTCTAATGCCTGTGTTTTCAAGATGGCTGCGCCCGTTCTGTCCGCACATGAAGTTTTTGCCGAGGGGGTTCGTGCTGTTTTGGAGACGTGGCCGGTGCTGCAAGTGAGAACAGTTTTTCTTTCAGTCTTAAAACCAGTTTTTCTCGTTTCTATAGGTGTATTTTGAGTCTTAATTAACGGGGGTGTCAGGACATATGCACTCACACATGATCGTGTTTGAGTTAACACGGTCTGGCCGGTCGATACCACAAATAGGGTCGATTTGCTATGAAATTCTGTAACACAGCAGTGAATTGTAGTATAAATCTTTATTATATTTAAATTTCATTGAATTTGGCTGTTGATTTACTGTAACGTTCTATTATAAAAATGTTTTAACCGTCTTTTTACTGTAGTCTACTGTAACACAACCTGTTTAAAAAGCAGTCCTGAGTTTAAAAGTATTGTAAAGACCGCGGGCTTCGGTACGGAATGGAGCAGGCGTAGGACTCAGGGAATGGGGTTGAACAACACATTTAATAACCAGAGCCGGGGAACGGTAAACACACAGGCACAGGGGTTACAGCGCTGCACCTACGCGAAGGGAAGAGCGGTCTCCCAGCCCCCGTCCCACTATAAACAGTCCCATAGTCCCGCCCCCAGGCGATGGCGCTACAGTATTTATTTTAATATACTGCTGCAACCCCCCTTTCTGTCACGACTGTTTACTTCTGCTTTGTCTAAGATTGCGGTGGACAATGGATTTGGGGGTGCACACAGCCGACAGAAAGCTGATTGGATGGTGGACGCTGTGCAGCAGTATTTCCATGACAACAGTGA